ATGATTGTTTTGAGGAAAAGAAAGAAAAATATAGATGTTTTGTTCCGCTGCATTTGATGTTTCATAGTAGCTCTGTGTGTCTGTGTTTGAGTTGAAATATTTGAAAGATTCAGTTCCGAAACAAATTCCAAAGCCAGATCCTGGTCTGTCTGTTCGTTAAGCTGGTCGCCGCCCGGTGCGGGCGGGATCCGTCTCGGGTCGGGTCGTGACATTTATGGTATGATTTGTAGTGAATCCTACCACCGAGTTCAGGGAAACCTCGGCCAAATCCAAATGTAGCTTCTCCTCCACCTCCTCCTCTGTCTCCTCCTCACCTACCTCAATTTCCTCATCATCACAGACGGTGAAAACCTGAAGAGTTCGATCCTTTCACTAATGCCCTGATGTATACTTCTCATCGCACAAGAAGCACAACCACTTAGCCCTCTTCTCCTGCATCTCTTTCTCTGTCAACCGCTTGAAATTTCCCCCACTCCCTCCTGCTATCTTCTCCCTGGTGGCCTCCCGACTTCCTCCTGTTGCAGGACCTTTAGGTGCTAGATGGATGGTCGTCATCCTATAAGTGCCCCCCGTGCTGCTACTCTGGCTCCCCTCTCCAGATTTCTCAGATTTTCAACTAGCTGGTCCAACTTCATGGCCTCCCCCAAGTCACGAGGCATCAGAACCTTCACTGTTGCTCAGATATCTGCCTTCAACCCATTCATGAAATTCCCCTCCGATACCATATCTGATAATCGTTTCACCCTGCTGGCTAGGTGCTCAAATCACTCCCGGTAGTCTACTATTGAACCATCCTGTATCAGAGCAAAGAACTGCTCATAGAAATCTCTTCCCAGGTCGGTTTGAAAGTGTTCTATTATGCAGTCCTTGAATTCCATCCAGTTCCTGATAGGTCTCCTCTGGTCTCTCCATTGATACCATGACAGAGCCTTCCCTTCCAAGCACAAGCCTACCGCTATCAGCTTCTCCTCCTCCGTTAACCCATTGACGGAGAAGTATCTCTCCACCTTATAAATCCACCCATACACATCTTCTCCTTAAAATATGGACATCTTTAGTTTCCTAACCTTCTGATCATTATCATTCCCCCTTATTCTTCCATAGCTTCCTCTCTCCCAAGTGCTAGGCCCTCCCCACGTCTCCTGGTCTTCCCTTGCCCTGCCATAGCCCAAACCCCGTTCAAACTCCCCCTTCTTTCTTCAAAATCAGCACCTCGATGACAATAGTATCCCTCCCAGCATTCCCCATATCCACCTCTTTCTTCCCTCTAAACAGGCTCCAGATGGGGTCTTCTTCTTTCTCCTTTCATGATTTCCACCTCATATTCCTCCCTACGGATTTCAAAATTCGTGCTTTTTCCTTCCACACCTTTTGCCACGGAAGCCGCCATTTGGTTGTGGATTTTCAACATTTTCTTCATCATGTCCCAGAGATCAGTTACTTATCCTTCTATGAAGGATATCCTTTCATCCACCGTTTTCTTGATTTGATTCATCTCCCCTTCAAGCATTTCTTCCAAAACATCCACCTTCTTGGCTTCCATCACTATACGGAGTTTGTAGATTCACAAAATCTGAATTTGGATCTCCAAAAACAGCAACTTACCTCTTTTTCGGACCAAAAATAGCTATTGGAATTTGCCGAAAACAACCCTCCACCGATCCCAAGACTTGCTCTGATACCAATTTAATAGGAAATACTTGAGTTCGCAAGAAACGCTAAGGGTAATACTTGAGTTTGCAAGCAAACCAATCTCCAATTGGTGAAAAACAGCAATAATAATGCAAGATCTGGGTGAAAATAGCCCAAAACAATATATTGTGGTAGGGAAATCAAAACTAAACAATAAGGAAAACAAGATACAAGAGATCCTCAATTCAAGAGGAGGATCGTCTCTCCCAAATCTCTAGACAAGAGAGTCTAAAGCCCAAGTCACCAAGAAACCCTAATTGAGAATAATTCAAAACATCATCCCTCTCTAAACATCTCATGCTCTTTAATACAAAAACTTTCCTAATCTAATTTCAATCCCAAGCCCTAGCCGCCCCCTCCTTTCAATTTGAATTTACATGGACTAGTGGGGCCCTCAGTGTGGGCGGGCAAGATCCATGGAGACGGACAAGTTCCGCCTCCTGTAGTAGAGCTGAGCCGGCCCTTGGGTCGGCTGGGCCGGTTCAAGGTGAACCAACCTAACAAATCGCCAGGTCTGTACAGTTCATTACATCTTTTTTTTTTTTTGCTACATATACTACTTTAACTTAATTTAAAGATGATGAATCTTTTTTCATTAGAAAAAACAACCAACTCTCAAAATCAACCTAAACCCAGGGGATTTATATGCATATACCATAAACTTCTTATGTATTTATATATCTAATACTTAAAATTTTATACTCATAAAATACTAAACTCTAAATGACATCAAAAATATCACTTGCACATCCAAAGTTAGTCCGGTAAATTATTGAAAGCATATTGAACTTGTTGAATTCATGTTGTCCAATCAAGCATATTTGGCCCTAGGGCCAATTAAGAGGAAGTTGCGCAAGCATCAAAGCAACTTGCTCAAATCGCCTAAAGTAATTGACCACAATGACGTTTAGGCAAAGTTGTGTAATTATTTAGAAAAGCTACTCGCCAGAGCTCAACAAGCCTAAATGAAGTCGACCCACAACTTATTCATCCTGAATGTTGAACTCATCATATATTTTCTACGTAATCAAATAGTTAAAAACTCACAAAGTTATTTTATGAAAAATATTTATCAAGCATTGTAATATAATTTTATTTGTGTAACATTCATTGATCCAAACATATCAATGAGGGGTTAGGGGTGAGTCGATGGGGCATTCATCTATTTGCCCAATTTTATATTTTCTAATAATTTAGTAAAATCCTAGAGTTTTTCTCTTTAAGTTATGTTTCTCTCTCTTCATATATCATAATTTTCAAGCATTTTTGCAAGTAATTTTATAGTGTTGAGCAAAGATAAATTGTGTACAACACCACTAACATTAACTTGTCTAAATTGAAATACGTATTTCTTGCATATGTTTTGATATCATTTAGCACTAGACTATTAAATAAGTAAATAAAGATTTAAATGTTAGATATGTAAATAAATAGGAATTCAGTGGTATGTAGTTAAAAAAAAGCAAGGTCGCTAAGCTCATGACCAGCCATATGAAGGACATCAGTAACCAGCCGAAGAATAATCACAAAAAAGGATTAAAGCATTACAAAAGCTTTTAAAAAAATGAGGCTTTGTCCAAAAAGGCATGGTTCAACAACCCAATACGGCAACATCAAAAGAAAATGAAACAATGTCAAAGAAATAAACTATAGAGTCGAAACAAAGATTGTGTAAGAAAAAGTCTCACCTTTGGGCATGTAATAGTAGAATATCTACCAAAAATTGACCCAGAACGAGCTGTGCAATCGAATCTCTGGACACTCCCACCATTGAGGCTCGCTCTTGAGCTCAGAATCCTCAGAGCCCACCTCCAATACATTCTGGAAAGCGAGAATCCAAATAAAAAAAAAGTCGAACCAGGAACTGTACACGAACCGATGAAGTGGCTATGGACGAAGAATTAACAGAAAAAAACTGAACAAATAGGGCTGTTTGGTATCGGATTTACAGCGGGATTTAAGTCTGATTTGCGCTAAATCCAGCCAAACGGTTTTGTGCGCTCGTTAAACCCGGCGATGGGTAAATCCCGGATTTAAGGATTTACGGCTTGAATCCCGGATTTACTAAATCCCTCGGTTCGGCGGATTTATGGGATTTGGCAGAAGAAACGTGCGAAAGGGAGAACCTTCACAGCCAGCGAGCTCCCGTTGCTGCTTCCGATCAGAATGTCGTAACTTCCGACCCGACAGGAAGGGAAAGCCGTCGAAACAGCGAAGTCGAACAGCCACGAAGGAACCGAAGTAGCGACGCGTGCAATCTCTACACCTCCTGCGAAGCAACGAAACCGAACGGCAACCACGCAAAGAAAATATGAAAGGCAAACCTAGACGCCTCTTAAGTTATTATTGATTAACTTAATTAATATAATTTTAAAAAATTAATAATTAAGTAAATAATTAATAGTATAATAGTGAATAATTAGTTCTCTAATTTAACTTAATTTAATA